GTTCAATTGGTTGACATCCTACTCTTGGTTTCAGGGCAGTTGGTGATCTCATGGGCCCTGAGATCCTGCCCAGCATAGAGCTTTGTGCTCAGCCAGGAGTCAGTCTTAAGATTTTCTTTCTGCACACTCATGCACTCGCTCTTTTAAATAAAAAATAATTCAAGAAAATTTCCCAGAATTGAAGAGCTTGACTTTCCAGATTAAAAGGACCCACCAAGTGCCCAGAACAGTGGAAAACAGCCCCATGCTAAGGCACATACTGTAAAACTTCAGTACACTGGCAAAGAGAATCCTACATTTCCAGAGAAAAAATGAAAAAGAATTAGGAATAAGAATCTCAACAATAATACTGGGGAGATGGATGGGGGCACCTGGGTGGCTCAGTCAGTTAAGAATCTGCCTTTGGCTCAGGTCATGATCCCAGGGTTCTGGGATCAAGCCCCACATTGGCCTCCCTGCTCAGCGGGGAATCGGCTTCTCCCTCTCCCTCTGCCCCTCCCACTTCAGTGCACCCACACACACACACACCTCCCGTGCATTCGAGCATGCTCTTTCAAAGAAGTAAAATCTTTAAAAAAAAATACTGGAAGCCAGGAGACTATGAAACAATCCTTCAGAATTCTGATGCTGGTTAAGAACAACACAAAAGGTCATTTCAGGCAGAGAGAAAAGCATGAGAAAGGCACAGGTAAGAAAGAAAGGAGTTACCTGCTTAAAGAACTGCAAACATCTCCTTAGAACCAAAAGATTAAGTGAGAGGTGGGTTGAAGTGGTGACAGAGATAGAAAAGGAGTCAAATATACTCTTCCAATACTTTTGGCTTTATCAAAATGGAGAGCCACTGAAGATTTTCAGCAGGACAGTGCCATGAAATCTGTATTCCTGAAACAGCAATCTGAAAAGGATGGAGACAGCAAGGCTGGAAGCTGGGAGACTGATCTTGAAACAAATCATGTGTGGAAAATAATCCAGCAATGGTGATAATAATAAACACTGATTAGGCTAAGAGTTTTTATGGATTCATTTTATTTTGCAACTAACCTATGAGGTGGGTGCTATTATTTCATGCCTACCTTACAAATGAGGAAAGTGAACCCTGGTGAAGTCACACGGACTGTTAACAAAAGACACTGTGGCTATTTGAACCCCAAGCCTTTCACTTAAGTCCGTATTGTTTACTGAGCTCTTAAAATGATAGCCAATCCATCAATAAGTCCAGTTAGCTCAACTTCAAAATGTTATCTTACAACCAGCCACTTCTTAGTCCCTCCACTGCTACCACTCTGGCCTGCCATCATCATCGTTATCCTGAACTATTACAGGTGGTCCTTAACTGGGTTCCCCATCCATCACCCATCCCTACATTATCCATTCTCACAGAACAGCTCAAGTAATCTTTTTTTTTTTTTTTAAGATTTTATGTATTTGACAGAGAGAGACACAGCAAGAGAGGGAACACAAGCAGGGGGAGTGGGAGAAGGAAAAGCAGGCTTCCCGCGGAGCAGGGAGCCCGACGCAGGGCTTGATCCCGGGACCCTGGGATCATGACCTGAGCCGAAAGCAGACGCTTAACAATTGAGCCACCCAGGCGCCCACAGCTCAAGTAATCTAGTCTTAAATCATGTTACTGTCCTGTTTACTCCCATCACGAGACCATAAATAAGCAGGCCTCTGCCTACCTCAAAAGTTTGAGCCAAATGGGCTTCATTCTAAAGTGGGAACATCCACCCCTGAGACATTACAATGGCTATTTCCTCAATTTCAGGAATGCTCTTTCCCCTTGTCTTACTATCTCATCCTTCAGCCCTCTGTTCAAATAACCACTCCCTCTTGACTAATTTTCTACACAGAACTTATTCTAGGAAGGGTGGGAATATCAATGTATTTGTATATGTGAGGAGGCAACTTGTTTTTACATCTTCTCAACTTATATAATTTAGTCTTAAGACTGGCCTTTTTTTTTTTTTTTTTTTTTTTAATTTTTAAGTAATCTCTACACCCAACATGGGGCTCAAACTCACAACCCCGATCAGGAGTTGCTTGCTCTACTGACTAAGCCAGCCAGACACTCCTAAGACTGGCTTTTTTTTTTTGGCAGACACACACACACACACACACACAGAGACAAACACAGCGGAGGGTGAGGTGTGCAGAGGATCTGGAGCTCATGACCTGAGCCAAAGGCAGACACTAACCCTCTGAGCCACCCAGGCACTGAGGTGTGCAGAGGGAGAGAGAATCTTCATCTCACAACCCTGGGTTCATGACCTGAGCCAAAATCAAGAGTCCAACGCTTAACTGACTGAGCCACCAAGGAGGCCCAAGATTGGCCATTTCTGATTTCATCTACTATTTTTAAATTTTCACAACTTTAATCTCTGAAGATAACTTCAGAGCCTCAAAGCACCATACTGACCATCATAAATTCCTCCACTTTGACAATGAAGCTACAGTTAAAAGAAATGAACTGGCTAGTCACTGAGTAGCAGGGCTGGATTTGAATCAGTTTCCATGCTTTTCTCATGGACACGCATGTCCATAGTCATTGGTAAATAGTTTAAGTACAGGACAAGTTAGGTGGTAACTCTAAGTTCAGATTTACTGGTATTTATACTTACAGAACACTTCTTGAAAGTCTTTAAGATTTGTTTTTATTTATTATTGAGAGAGAGTGTGTGTGCAAAGGGAAGGGGTAGAGGGAGAGGGACAGAGTCTCTGCATTCAGTGCAAAGCCTGACACTGGGCTCGAGCCCACAACACTGAGATCATGACCTGAGCTGAAACTAAGACTCGAACACTTAACCGACTATGCCACCCAGGCACCCCCAAAACCATCTTTTAAAGCAATTTTATATCCATTTTACCTTTTTTTCTTAAAACTGTCCAGGGAGGCAAGAGGTAAAATGGCTTCCATTTTTATAGATGTAAGGGACACAAAGAGGTGACTGGTTGAAATGCTGGTCTTAAGTTCCAGTGGTATTGTTTTTTCCATTAAACCACTGTCTAGTTAACCAAATAATATTTCAATTAAATTAATGATACATAAAAGAACTATGATAAAATCAAAACAGCTAACAGCAACATTATCCGAAGTGTTAGGATTTTAGGGAACTGTCCTATCATATTTATTGGGACTCTTTGTCTGGAAAAGACAAGGTCAAGAAGGAACAGAGCAGAATTACAAAATTATGAAAGGTATGGCTAAAGGAAAACCTGGACCTAGGAAGCACTCTTTAAAAATTTGAGCATGGGGGGGTGCCTGGGTGGCTCAGTTGGTTAAGCGACTGCCTTCGGCTCAGGTCATGATCCTGGAGTCCTGGGATCGAGTCCCGCATCGGGCTCCCTGCTCAGCGGGGAGTCTGCTTCTACCTCTGACCCTTCCCCCTCTCATGCTCTCTATCTCATTCTCTCTCTCAAATGAATAAATAAAATATTTAAAATAAATAAATAAATAAAAATAAATAAATAAAAAAATAAAAATTTGAGCATGGGGGGCGCCTGGGTGGCTCAGTTGTTAAGCGTCTGCCTTCAGCTCAAGTCATGATCTCAGGGTGCTGGGATCGAGCCCTACATCGGGCTCCCTGCTCAACGGGAAGCCTGCTTCTCCCTCTCCCACTCCCCCTGCTTGTGTTCCCTCTCTCTGACCAATAAATAAAATCTTTAAAAAATAAATAAAAATTTGAGCATGGTAGTACTTTGTATAGCACTTAAAAAACTTATAGCACTAAGTATTCAAGGATGGTAATAGAAATATAGGTGCTTTGGGTGCCTGGGTGGTTCAGTTGGTTAAGCGACTGCCTTCGGCTCAGGTCATGATCCTGGAGTTCCAGGATCGAGTCCCGCATCGGGCTCCCTGCTCAGCAGGGAGTCTGCTTCTCCCTCTAACCCTCTCTCCTCTCATGTGCGCTCTCTCTCTCTCATTCTCTCTCTCAAATAAATAAATAAAAAAAAAAACTTAAAAAAAAAAAAGAAATATAGGTGCTTTTTTAAAATGGCACAGTTAATTTTTTGAATGTCAGAGACACACATAGCTATTAGTGAAGATGGAATATATCTACTCTTCAAAGTGAATGTCAGATGACATCCCATAATGATGGAATCCTGGAACAAATGGGAGTATCCGAGTATCCATATCCCTAAGATCAAGGCAAAAGTTTTAAACATTTATCCATAGGTCAGTGTGAACAAGACCCTATATACATATACATATATATATACACACATATATACACATATATATTTATATATCCTGAAACCAGAATTTTTTACCTTAATGATTATACCTCAGAAACTATACCTGCCTTAATAATCTGCTTCATCCACTTTACTTAGGGTTGATTTTGCCTTACAGATGCAACCATTAAAGTTTCTTTTTCTCACCCAAGATTTAAAATATAGTCAAGCCTTTGGGGCGCGTGGGTGGCTCAGTCATTAAGCATCTGCCTTCTGCTCAGTCATGATCCTAGGGTCCTGGGATCGAGCCCTGCATCGGGCTCTCTGCTCAGCGGGAAGCCTGTTTCTCCCTCTCCCACTCCCCTTGCTTGTGTTCCCTCTCTCGCTGTCTCTCTCTCTTTCTCTGTCAATTAAATAAATAAAATCTTTAAAAAATATATATATATAGTCAAGCCTTATATATATATACAAAAGGCCTACATCAAGTAAAAATAAAAAATTTAACTCAAAATAATGCATGCAAGCTAAGTACATTGGTATACTCAATACAAAATAATGCTGGAGAGTTTATAAAGTTGGTGATGTAAAACAGTAGTTTCCAAGGAACTTACTAAATCAGACCTTCACAGGGCCCTAGAAAACTTCATTTTTAACAAGAATCCCAAAAGATTCTAGGCCTTAATTAAAAGTGTGGTTTAGGGAAGCACTTTAAACTTTCACTCTGTGTCAGATTACATATACAATAAAAGTAAATTATAAATCATGTAATTGAACAAAAAATTTTTCTTTATAGGAACTATTAAATAGATATCTAAATACAAGATGGATTTTAAAATGAAATGTTATTTGTATTTGTAAAGATATGTACACTAATCAAAAGCTATACAACATTAACACCAAATCCAAATCCAAATGAAGATAATCCTCTGAATTCCATGTTTCATCGAGCATCAAAAACCACCACTGTATTAAAATGAGTTAAGGAGAAAAACATATTTAAAAATTACATGAAAGATTTAACACTTCCAAGTCACTTTCTCTTTGCAATAAGCTAGTTATTTAGCTACAATGCACAAAAGAATGGAACTCAGCATTTACTATGACAATTGGAAATAAAAAAGTTTCAGTTTTTATTAGTCCCCTTTCCATGACACAAAAGACCAATGCACCAAAAAACACTGAAACCATGTTAGCAAGGTAACTTACTGGTTTAAAAAATACTGTAATTGTATTATTAGTTACCATGTAACAATGTACTTTCAGTCTTTTGGCTAATTTGTAAGCCTCACTTTATCCAGTAAGTAGCATTCATACACAGTATTTGTATTTCTCCTTGTATAATTTAGTTTGTCCATAAACTCAAAACTCAAGGACTATAAGTAAAATAAGTTAAATACCAATCCTGAAAAACAGACTTATGAGAACTAAAATCAACTAGTAAATATTTAGTATATGCCTCTTCACTGGATTTTTATTATGAAAATAAAAATAAAATGATTATGAAAATCCTAATCATGCCTTTTTGGTAAGTAGTTATTACCTTTTTTTATCAGAAATTAGTCTTTGACTAATAACCCAAGCATTATTCTTCACTTCCACCTACTTCATATTTAGCAAGTTACAAGGATACATCTTTTAGTCCTTTTCTTGTACATTATTCTGTATCCACATTCTCTGCATCTGATTGGATCCCTGGATTTTATTTCATTTTCTGTGTGACATTCTAAAAAAGAAAGCATGGTCATTCAATGCCTAAAGGGCAAACAGGACAGACAAGCAAATTATCTTAACTGTATTTTTCACCCAAAGCATTAAAATGTACTCAATCTCAAGAGTATGGTGCTATAACCATGTTGAAAAGAAAACCACAGGCCCCAAATGGCCTCACTTAGGTTAAGATGCCAAGTCCGTAAACCTAGTAAACCAAGACTTAACACTTAACCTAACTGCAGTTTCAACCATGCAGAAATATAACCCCTGACCAGTCAATATGGGAATTTCCTTGTCAGCATTAGGAAATTTACTGTTTTTTGGTTCCTCTTAGAAAGGCGACCTTACCTATAACAATGGAGTCTTTGCTAATCATTTCCTTTTTTCCACTCCTCTCTACCTTTAAAAACCTTTCCTTTTCTGTAGCCTTTTGGAGCTCCCATCTACTTGCTAGACAGGATGCTGCCTGATTCATGAATCCATTAATAAAGCCTATTACACCTTTAAAATGTACTCAGTTGAACTTTTATTATTTAACGACAATATACTAAGGAGGAAAGAAAAAAGTTATGGGCAGTGTACTTTTTCTTGGAGAGAAAACGAATTCTTAATGAGTTGTTTTTTTTTTTTTTACAGTTGCTAGTATTCTGCTTTATAACTTTAAAAGATGACTCATTCAAGACAAAGTTAAATGTAATTATTTCAAAACTCTGAAGTAAAACACTCCTACTTTATGTAAGTTCTATCCTTACCTCCGCAGATATATATCATGGGCTGCTGCTTCGGGGGCTGAACGTCCTTTTGGGTGTCCATTGATAGTCCCTGCAATCACAGACTTAAATCTTGAATATCTCAAAAGGGCTCCTCACAAATCCAACCAGGCCTCATTTTTCTCAGGAAAACCTAAGAGTCCCAATTCCTAACGTGTACTTTTTCCAAACCCTATGGGTAGAGCTAAAGGACGGAACAAAAACACAACGTATTGCGCACTTACCCCCAAACTAGACACAGTAACATTTTACACATGTCATTTTAATCTTTACAACAATCGTAGGAGTTATTACCCTTACTTTACAGATGAAGAAACCCAGCCCTGTAGAAGTCAATTTGCGTAGGGTTATTCAACTACTAAGAGGTAGGGGCACTGGGATCTGACTGCAAAGCTCGCGTTCCCATTTAACAGAAGTCCTACTCTTCCAAAATTCAGCAGAAGGCAATAAATTATATCCCTCAACAAGCGAACATGCGAACCGAAAATAAGGGGAGAATAACTCCCCAAAGCCAAACAGCTAAACTGAACGAAACCGGGCAAAGGATTAACACCATCCACTCAATCCGCAGCTTCTCCCAATTCTAACCCCAGGGTTTTACCAGTTTGGGTCCAAACACCCACCTGTAAATACAGGCAGCCAATTCCCTACCCACGTAGCCCCCAGACACTCCGTACTCTGAAGTTCGCGGCGGATTATGGCTCCTCGTTGTGTCTCAACCAACTTCCGGCGCTGGCATATGACGCCTCTAGTCCCCGCCTCTTCCGCCCCCGGGCGTGGCCGAGGAACCCGGATTGTACACAAGCGGTAAAGCCGGGAATTTTGTTATGGTAGGCTCTGTGGAGAAGAATTCGTGTTTCGCCCCAGCTTATTTCATTTTTCAGGATAGCAAAGCATTTCAATAGTTCCTCAAATCGAAGAGAGTCTGCTTTTCTGACTAATGAAGTTAGTGGAAAGTACACTTTTCCAGGAGGGCTGAGGGTTAGGAGAGAGTGAAATGACAAGTGCCCCCGGAATCCTAGGCTAACCGTTACTCGGAGGAACACAGAAGCAGCGACTGCATCACTGATTTTCACTTTAAAAAGCACTTTTCAGATTATGTTTTTCCTATTGTTTGATACCTGTGCTGGGCCAGTGGAGCATCCGTCCCCTATCCTTCACATTATTTCATTTTTGCTTTTTGAAACTTTCGTAGGCTCCTGTTTTCCCTCTGACCCACTCCTTTTACTTGTTTTAAAGCAAAGGCTGGGGGCGCCAACTCTTGGTTTGGGGTTTGTTTGTTTTTTTAAGATTTTATTTATTCGAGAGAGAGAGGCGGAGGGAGAAGCAGGCTCCCCAAGGAGCAGGGAGCCCGATTCGGAACTAGATCCCAGAACCCTGGGATCATGACCCGAACCACCCAGGCGCCCCCAACTCTTGGTTTCTGCTCAGGTCGTGATCTCCGGGTCCTGGGATGGAGCCCCGCATCAGGCTCTGCACTCAAGCGTGGAGTCTGAGATTCTCTCTCTCCCTTTCCCTCTGTCCCTCTCACTCGTGCTGTCTCTCTCTCTCTAAAATACATTTTTTTACAAAAGCAAAGGCGGTATAAAGGCAGCTACATAAATTAATTCCACTTAAAACTAAAGGATATTGGTAGCAGTCACTACCCATTGATTGACCTTCCTTCCATCTCATGTATTCCTCCCTAGATGAAACAAAAGGATCTGCGCAGTGGAGGTGTGCTTTTTGAAAGATCAAAATCAGTGAGATTAATAGCAATTGGGTTCACAACATTGACATTCGTTTGCTTCTTTCACAGCAGGTTTTCACTTACATCAGAAGGAAGAAGAAAATGAATTAAAATTTAGAAAATAGTTGTTAATAATGATTATACTTAAGCAGAGAAACAGGTTTCTTTCACCCCAACATGTCTTTGATTTCTTATTAAGCAGAATATTCTGCTTTCCTGTCTTCCATCCAGCAGTTTGACAATGGAAGATTTTATTTATACACAGAACAGCCTATTTACACCCCCAGATCGGGTATGTACACAGCGATACAGGAGACATTTGCTTCCATGGCGGGCACTGTATAAATTAAGATCATAAATATGAGGGGTAAGCCCCACCCGAAGGCTAAAACCTTTTCCCCAAGACTCCCCAGGACCACCCCCCCCTCCACAGCCACAGCGGGGTCGGGTTGGGCCAGGCTTCACCTTTCACTTCCAGAAGTTCAAACTGATCGTACCTTTACAGACCAGGTTGGGAGTTTTAACTTGATCTTCCTGGTCTTCCTGGCTGCCAATTTTTTAATTTCCAGGGAAACATAATGGATTTTCTTGCTTCTTCTTTCACAGACAGGCCAACATACAGCATAAATATTTTGACCATTAGCTTACAAACTACCTCCCCTCTCAACCAAAGAGAAGAGAGTAATGCAACAGAATAGTCAAAATAAGCTTTCCTACAACAATTACTAGATAAAACTGTTGTTATAAGAGAAAGATGATGGAGGGGCACCTTGGTGGCTTAGTCGGTAAGCATCTTGACTTCGGCTCAGGTCATGATCCCAGGGTCCTGGGACTGAGCCCCGCATCGGGCTCCTTGCTCAGCAGGAAGCCTGCTTCTCCCTCTCCCACTCCCCCTGCTTGTGTTCCCTCTCTTGCGGTCTCTCTGTCAAATAAATAAATAAAATCTTTTTAAAAAAGAGAAAGATGATGGAGTGATATAAAGTATAACTTTAATCATTGCACACTTTACTGGATTCTGACTCTCCAGTTGATGTATCAAAAGGATTCTGGCACATAATAGTCTATGGAGATCAGAATGGATCGCAAAAGCAGGATAGAAATGAGTCCTAGGACCCTGTGGAAGGGTAGAGTAATTGCAAGTGATATCAAGGAGATCCAGAATTTCAGCAAAAGTCCATGTTGATGCTAGTTCTCAATCCAACACCCTCTTTCCTATCAGCAGGAACCAATAGTTTTAGAATCAGTATGGAGCATGGTCAATGTAAACTATTATCATTGGTAACAGCTAACTTTTCTTGAGCACTTACCATGTGCAGATATCACTCTATTGCCCTCTCCTAATGAGGGCAGATGTCTTGTTATCTTGGATGCTAGTGCTTTTAATTCCTTAAAATATGGTTATGGAGATGCAAGTTGCTTTTTTCCTCCCTGAATCTCTGTTTTTCATATTCCTTGATCTTATTCTTTTAAGTATATCTGCATAGCTTTAGTCATCGTGATTGGAAAAGTCTTTCATTATGTTTTGCTGGATGGTCCCCAAAAGAATTAGATCTTGTGGAAAACAGATGGGTTTTAGAATTCTGAGGTCAGTAATGGGATGACATCCAATCCAGAAAAGGAAGCAAAAAGGCCAAAGACCATGGTGGGTAAATAGAAAAAAAAAAGAATAGGAGAATATAGCTCAGTGGTTTGTATTTGGGGTATATGAGTAAAGCCAGGACAAGCTACATATGACTAGGTTTCTTTTTGCCTTTTCAGTGGGGGAGGGGAGTAAAAATTATTCTTATGATAGAAGGGAGTTATGTTATACTTTTGCGGTCTTCAGTCATAATAAAATAAAGAAAAATAAATTAACTAGATAAAGAGAAAAGAGCAATGTTTAAATTATGTTTGGGATTTTGTGGATTTTTTAAACCATAGGCAAAATCCCCTGCCCTGTTTATGTTATAGTGGGAGTGAGGATCAGACATTAAACTAGATAAGTAATATGACATTTTAATTTTTATTTACTTTTTCTAAGGATTTTATTTATTTGTCAGAGAGTGCACAAGCAGGGGGAGCGGCAGGCAGAGGGAGAAGAGGCTTCCCGCTGAGCAAGGAACCCGAGTACTCGATCCTAGGATCCTGGGATCATGACCTGAGCTGAAGACAGATGCTTAACCGACTGAGCCACCCAGGCATCCCAGTAATATGACATTTTTAGAAGGTGATAAACTACATGGAGAAAATTCAGCAAAGGAGGATTGCAAATGCTATGGTGGGGGGAAGGGCAAAATGGCTGTAACAGAGATTTCTTTGAAGAGCTAGAGAGGGCACTACTCACTCTATCTGGGTACGTGTGGGTGTCTTCAGAGAGGTGCTATGTGTAATTCACCAATTCCTTAAGTCCTACAGGTACCTGAAACTTAACAACCTCATACTAAATTCATCTTATTTTGTTCCAAACCTGTCCTCTGTGCTTCCTCAACCCCTGCCCCATGCACTTGATTCTTCTAACTGAACATGTTGAGTCCAGGTTCTTCTCCAGCCCCACTGGCTTCCAGAGTCATGCAGTAGCTTCCTAAGTGGTCTTGCAACCACCCTCACCTCTTTTCCTTCTGTTCTCCATTCTGCCACCAGAGTGATCTTTCTTTTTTTTTTTTTTTAAGATTTTATTTATTTATTAGAGAGAATGAGATAGAGAGAGAGCACGAGAGGGGAAAGGGTCAGAGGGAGAAGCAGACTTCCCGCTGAGCAGGGAGCCCGATGTGGGACTCGATCCCGGGACTCCAGGATCATGACCCGAGCCGAAGGCAGTCGCCTAACCAACAGAGCCACCCAGGCGCCCCCAGAGTGATCTTTCTAAAATTAAAACGCTCTGCAATGCCTAGAGGATCAACTTCAGACTCTTAAATGCATCCAAAATTCTCCATGACTTGGCTTCTTCCCCTTCTCAAGAATTTTCTTTGCCCTTTCCTCAAATAAACCTGAGTTTCTAAGTATAACAAACTATTTACAGTTTCCCCAACTGTCCCAACTTTCCTGCTTTTGCACATTTTGAGATTGAAATCACCTGTTGCCTGACTTTTAAGTTGCCATTTGTCCCTCAAAATCCACCTCGAGTCATGGTCTTTATTTTTTTTATTATGTTAATCACCATACATTACATCATTAGTTTCTGATGTAGGGTTCCATGATTTCTTGTTTGAGTATAACACCCAGTGCTCCATGCAGAATGTGCCCTCTTTAATACCCATCACCAGGCTAACCCATCCCCTCACCCCCTCCTCTCTAGAACCCTCAGTTTGTTTCTCAGAGTCCATAGTCTCTCATGGTTCATCTCCCTCTCCGATTCCCCCCTTCATTCTTCCCCTCCTGCTATCTTCTTCTTCTTTTTCTTTTTTTAACATATAATGTATTATTTGTTTCAGAGGTACAGGTCTGTGATTCATCATCAGTCTTACACAATTCACAACGCTCACCATAGCACATGCCCTCCCCAATGTCTATCACCCAGCCACCCCATCCCTCCCACCCCCCACCACTCCAGCAACCCTCAGTTTGTTTCCTGAGATTAAGAATTCCTCATATCAGTGAGGTCATATGATACATGTCTTTCTCTGATTAAGTCATGATCTTTATAAAGTTAATTCTACCCCTTCTTTGAATTCCTTAGGGTTAGTTGATCCTCTTTCCTTTGTACTACTACTGCCCCCCTATTAGAGTGCTTGTGAGCCCCTTAAGGCCATAACTGTGCTGTACTCATCTTTGTATTCCCAGTAACTAGCCTAGTGATTGGCAGAACTTAATTGTTAGTGAGTTTTATTTTGGATATATTTCATTTTGGATGACTAAAGGGCATCCAGACGGAGAAATAAATGTCCAGTTGGAGGAGAGTGGTAGTAGCTGCTATTATTGGCTTAAAAGTAATGGGTGAGGTTCTGCCCAAGAATTATGTAAGAACATAATGGCAAAGTTTAAAAAAAAAAAAGTGCTGAGGTAGGACGTCTCATTTAGGGAAAAGGCAGAGAAAAAGAAGCCAGAAAAAGGAGACTAGGAGGAAGCCGCCCAGAGCAGAAGGGTGGAGCCTGGCATAGAATAGGTGTCCGGTGTATAATATAAAACATCCTGTCTAGCAGAATCAAGCATAATCCCGTGTAGAGACACTGTAACCAAGTTAGTCATACCTTTCAGACCTCATCCTGTGTATAACTATACTACCAAAAGGCGTCATTCATTTTGTAACCCGCTTTTTATACCTATCTCAGGAAACATTCTCAAGTGACCACTCACCTGCATTATTTTTAATGGCATCCCACAGTAGGACCTAGTGGCCTTTCTACATAATGCTCCCCAAGGTGAGAATGGGGAGAGGCAGAGCCCATGAAGTTAGGAAGCCCGGCTGAGCTTTGGGTCGGGGTGGAAGAGTGGGAAAGGGAGGACGAGACCGCCTCCGGGGGAAGCCGGGACCCCGGCCTGCGGGTCGCGGGGCGGCCGGCGGGGGCGCCACGGAGGCGGAGGAAGGGGCGGCGCGGGGCGGCGCGGGGCGGGGCGAGCGCGTAGCGGTTACTCAAGGCGGGCAGTTCAAACCGAAGGAGGGAAACGCGGCGGTCCCACGCGAACCTGGCGTGGGTGTTGCCATAGCCCGGCATCCCTGGGGGCGAGGCGGTGGCTCCTGCCCGGCGCTCCCAGCGGCGGCTGCCTGACTCCCTTCCCGCCTGGCCCCGCGGCCCGGTCGGTGCGGGCGCGCCTCGCTCTCCAGGTGGGCGGGAGTGGGGGGCCCAAGTGTGTGCCGGCTAGCGGGCCTCCCGGCGTCCCCGGGCCCGGCGCCCACTTTGCTTTCCAGGTGCTGGGACTAGAGAGGCGCCCCGAAGCCGATCTCTTGCCCCCTCGCTCCGCTCCAGGTGACGCCCACCCACCCTCCGCCTTTCGGTGGCGTTCTGGGCCCTGGGCCCTGGCGGCGGAGCCGAGGCGACCCCCGTCCCCCCGCCAGCTTGGCCTTGGGAAGGTCCAGGAGGGACGAACAGGGCCAAAAGACGCCCTGGTGAGACCGTTAACCAGCCACCCGCTGACAGCACCTTGGGGGAGTAAATGACCGCGCTGTGGCTTGTTACACTGCATTTTCAGAAAAACCCGAATTTGGGAAGGTTCCTCAGTTCCCAGACTCGCTGGAGAGAACAAGGATATTGAAATTACCATTACCATTATCTGGAGAGCTGAAAGAAATTCAAAATGGTTTAGGCCTTTTCATATGTTAGGAATAATCCCTGAAGCGTGTACTTTATGTACCTTGCCAATCTTAGCAGTCATCATGCTGCTGCAGGTTTCAATTGTCCAAACTAGAGTTTTTAATCGGTAATACTTTGGCATGAGTTTTGAAGGCAAAGTGAAAGATTTTCTTGTTTGGAAGCTCACATAACTGACATCTAAGATCTCAAGATTGACTGATGGTAAGATTTTCCACTTTAACAAATGAAAGTTTGGTTTTAATATAGTTAAGTAGTATTTCATTCTCTAACTTAACAAGTGTTTTTAAACTGAATTATGGTTGACATACAATATTATATTAGTTTCAGGTGTACAACATTAGTGATTCTACATTTTTATACATTATGAAATGATCACATTGATAGGTCTAGTTATCTGTCACTATAAAAATTTACTACATTATTATTCATTGCATTCCCTATGGTATATATTACCTTCCCATGGCTTATTTATTTTATAACTGGAAGTTTGTACCTCTAATTCTTTTCATTTATTTTGACTACCCTTTACCCCCATCCCCTCTGGCAACTTCAGATTTGTTCTCTGTATCTGTGAGTCCGTTCCTGTTTTGTTTGTTCATTTGTTTTGTTTCTTAGATTCCACAATAAGTGAAATCATATGGTATTTGTTTTTGTCTGGCTTATTTCACTTAGCATAATACCCTATGAGTCCATCCATGTTGTCACAAATGACAAGATTTCATTCTTTTTTATGGCAGAGTAATATTTCATTGTGTATATGTACCTCATTTTATCAGTTCATCTATCAATGGACACTTAGGTTGCTTCCATATCTTGGCTATTGTAAATAATACTGCAATGAACACAGAGGTGTACGTGTATCTTTTCAAATTAGTGTTTTCAAATTTTCTTTGGGTAAATACCCAGAAGTGGAATTGCTGGATCATATGATGGTTCTATTTTTGATTTTTTAAGGAACCTCCATACCGTTTCCACAGCGGCTGCACCAATTTGCATTCCCATCAGCAGTGTGTGAAGGTTCCCTTTTCTCCACACCCTTGCCAATTTTTTCTTTTTTGAGAGCACATAGAGATGTGTTCTCAACACTCAGGAGCCTGGTTTTAAAAAATGAGTATCAAGGAGGCTCGTTTGATTAATTAGTGAACTGTTGAATCAGTAAAATTAAGTAAGTCAATGGACATTTCAAAATTTTGCATGAGTCTTTTTAAATGATTTAAAAATTAAGTTTTGAAGAACCAAATTTTGTTTGAGACCAACGCCTTGGGATAGTAGAAAGGTGGACATGATGACAGCAGAGAAAGCACAGTGGAGGCAACTTCAGATCGGTAGATGAACAGAAAAAAAATTAGTGTTTTGTTTATATGTTTATGTTTATATCAAGTGGCCTATGGGTGATAGGGGTAGAGGATATCTGCATCCTTGTTTGTTTCTAACAATTTGCCGGTTTCCCAAATTCTAGCATGGTGAGACACCTAGTGGTAAGGTAGAATAGTTACATTTGCTCTAAAATTTTAGAAGGATTTGTTGACCTAATTTTAACTTATATTTATAGAATGATTCTCAGAGAGAGGAAAATATTCATGGGTGCAGGTATAATTTGGAAGCTCATTATATGTCATTAACTTAATATGTTGGAAACAAAATTGTTTTAAAGTATAACACAAGTTATAGAAAGCAAAGTTTGATTATCTTGGCTGGTAAGCAGTACAGAAGATAGCAGTCATTCTTATGATCTGTGGGGATCTAGATCAGAAGAGAACATGTATGAGATTTACCAGAATTGAATATAGGTTTAAAAGGTTGAAAAACACTTAGATATTTTGCCCAGTGGTAATCTTCCCATGATCATTTTAGCATAAAGAAACTTTTGTTTTGTGGTTGGAGTAGCAATTTGTTGTTGTTGTTGTTTTTAAAAACTCATTCACTTAGGTACTTAACTAGTATAACCTAGGCATAAATATATTACTTTACCATTATAGTCAACTAAAATATATTTTCCCAGGATCTTTTAATAGAGAAAAATCATGTATTTGGTCTGGAGAAAACTTTGAAAAATGACAGTTTTCTTAGTGTTCTTTGAATATTCTGGAGAAATATCAGAAACTATGGTAGTTTTCTCCCCTTCACACTCTTTGAGTTAAGATTTGAGTTTCTAAAAAGAAGGAATGTGATAATACTGTTAAGAAAATGTTAAGGGGTAAAGTATTTCCTGGTGTTATTCCTTACAAATATAATTACTGAGTAACTCAATAAGTAATTACAAGTAATTTACTTGACTTCTGTTCTTGTAATTTCAAGAATATTATAAAGGGTGAGTTTCCCACAAATAGTTGTCTGTTATCTGTGAATTCAAGCCTGCAACTGGACCTGATATCTCAAAATATTTAGAAAATGAGACAAGAATGACATGCCAGGTTTGTAATGGGCCTCTATCTGTGGGGTGCTGGTTCACTTGGGTTAGCTCAAGAAGAATGTATTAGTAATTAACAATCAGCCAAGGAGTCTTTGCAAAGTCATGAGTCTGGGAACTCAGACCTCGAAAATGGTCATGGGGACTGGATTTCTGTGGCAGGCCTATGTCACAAAGATGAATAACATTATCCTGGCATTGCTTAGCCAAGTTGCTGTTAAATCTAGTGGTAGCACCCATGTGACACATTTCCAAAAACATGTTTAAAAATTGGCATATAGTTTTTTAAGCAGCTTTACTTATATACCAGAACTTTGAAGGGAAATATCCAACTGACTAGATATAGGCCAGTACGAATAAGCTAGAATATTAAAACTATAACTCTGTACTTCAGTGCTGTTAAAATTGTAAGGTAATAAAATCTAAAAATGATGCTGCCAGATTTTTTCCTCAAGTGTAGTTCAAGAAAATATTTATGCATGGTGCTTAGGACTATGCTTAACCAAGTAGTCTGTGAATATGTATTGGTTGTTTTGTTTTGTTTTTTATGATGTTAAAAGTTGGGTTAAGTAATGTACACATGAGTATATATTAGAGTAGATTTGTTTTTTTAAGGTAACTTTTCTTATTGCCATAACATTTTCTATTATCCCTATTCACATATTTTTGGATAAGCTGCTAGGCTACTCATTTCAAAGGAAGAATAAAATCTGTTTTCACTCTGTAGAAACATTGTGAAGATGTCAGAGAGACGTTCAAGCCAAGCTTGCAGTGGAGCAGAAAATGAGGTGGACTCTCCTACTGTCAACTTCAAATCCTCCAGATTCAGAGATTTCTGTTCCACATCTTCATTTCAAGATAGTGGCTACAATGAGTTGTTACAACCTTGCAACTTTGGTAGTGCAGATAAAGAATTTTTTGGAAAGAAAGAAAAAGGCCCAACATTAATCCATGAACATCCTGAAACTTCAAATATGGGCTTAACTCATCCTTTAGAATCTCCAACTCAAAAAAAGAGATTTGTCTTTTCTAGGAAGGAAAATGATAAAACTCCAGAACTTTGTGAAACCCCTAAAGTCAGTGGAAAAAAATTTTTACTGCGTAGAAGGTTGGACATATCTTTCTCTCTCCTAAAGGGGTACTGTGAATCACAAAACAGTTCTCTAGAAAGTAGTATAAACCAAGTCCTCAACTTAGAAAAAAATAATCCAAGCTGTGCTGCAAGTTTTCCAAGGCAAACCAATTTTAGTCCTTTAGTTACTAGTACTTTGAAAACAGAAGAAACAACTTCCAGCAGTCAAAAATTGAGACTTAATTTTTCTCAACAGAAGACTTCCACAGTTGATGATTCCAAAGATGACTGTAGCCTATTTGAAGTTGAATGTATATCTCCGATTCAGGGCGATAGTTTTAAAGACTCTATCACATATGACCTTAGTGATAGCAGTCTGTTTGTTAATGATGAGAATACATATCCCAAACTTCTGGGCTCTTCTGCTAGTCGAACATCTTGTGGAACAAATGAGAATTTATGTGTGACTCCAATAAGTAATCTTGTAGCAAACATTAAATATAATGCAAGTCAAAGGCTCTCTCCTTCAGCTGAAGTGAGGGGCAATATTTCAACACCTGAAGACAGTGGTTTTAACTCACTTTGTTTGGATAAATCAGAAGATTCCCTCTCTGACCAGGAGGGTTCTTTTCGAGAACTTTGGAAACATAAGGGAACTGTCAAAGTGGGGGACACCATTAAAAAGTCAGGGCATCTTCGGAGGCTGAGAAGATTGTCTACCCTTCAGGAACAAAGCTCACAGTCTGAGACAGAAAGGGACTCCGACTTGGAAGCAACACCAGCAACTGCTTCAGACACGTCGGAGAATCAGCCGAGCAGTGACAATGAGATTTTAAGCTTTAAGAATTTATCAAAGACCCCAGCCTTGCAGTTAGTGCACGAGCTCTTTATGAGAAACAAAAGAAAAAGATTCCAGCAAAATGGTGCACATGAATTCTTAGAAGAGAAGGATGGGGGGCAAATAGCTGTACTACAGTGTGTACTTGCAGGACTGATTGGCAAGAAAATGGGTATAGAAAAACTGGACATCTTAACGGAATTAAAATATAGAAATTTAAAACACATTCTTGCTATGGTTTTCGATTCCTTGACTGCAGAAAGCCTATGCAGGTAAGAATTTTTTTCTGAAGTAAAACTTCCTTCTTACCACTTTTTTTTTTTTAAGTTGGAAAGCTTTTCTGTGAGTTGAGTAGTTGTCCTGTTTTTTATTCATTTTGTTTTATTATCTCTATCTTTAGTTGTCTTACACTTTATCAAAGGTGGTTTAGTGAGCTTCCTAATAGAGTTCCTTCTGTTTAAAATCCTGTTTTAGGGGCGCCTGGGTGGCTCAGTCAGTTGGGGGTCCCACTCTTGGTTTTGGCTGGAGTCAGGTTGTGGGGTGGAGCCCTGCCTTGTGCTTGGCTCTCAGTGGGGCATCTGCTTGGGGGTTATCTGCCTCTGCCCCTCCCCGCAACCTCTCTCTCTCTCTCTCCCTCTCTTTAAAATAAACAAATAAATCTTAAAAAAAATAAAATCCTGTTTTGGAAGTATCAGTATAGTCTTCTGGATAAAGTTCATGTCACTGTCATTTGGGAAGAGAGTTTCTAAACGTTGAACTTTAAATTTTCAAGATGGCAAACTGTCTTCTGCAAAAGTTATTTACTGATTTAATAGTTCACATCCTATTGTCAGATTGCAAATTGTATTAAAGTTATGACACTTGGTCAGAAACAATGTAAAGTATTATGGTGACTAAGAAATGACAGCATACAAAGGATACCATTTAGTTATTTAATCTAAATTCTAGAATCCAAAATAATGGTTAGCTTCATTTTAGGGCTTAGTTTCTCTAGAGACCAAGGGAATAGGGATTAGTTCATTTTCATTGCTAACAGGGCAGTGGAAGGTAATTACTTTTGGGAATTTCAAGGAATTAGAAACTGAAGTATTTGTGTTAACAGAGATTTCAGTGTATTGGATGCTGCTACATAATTAAAGAGAAACAGACATTTAGGAGTACTGAAGGAAGGAATGAGGGTTATAAAGACTAACGTGAGACTGTGTTCATACTGGCAATTTTGGGGAGTTGCAGGACTATCAGAAGACAAGATCTTTGGGAATGCCATGACCAGGAAGGAGGGAAGCCTGTAGAACAAGACTTCTGCAAGGTGACGGTTGACGGAGGACATGCAGGAGAGTTTGTGAATTTGTTTTTTGATAGAGATATGTCAAGAGTTTGGTTCATAGAATCCTTGCTGTTTTTATGGCCACTGCTTCTATTAAAGCCCTTCTTCACCTTTCCTCCACAAATTAATTGTAGGCTACTGTAGAGAATTGTAGAATTTCATAGCTGGAAGTCTTCTGAGACATCTAGTTTAATCACATATTTTGCAGATGAGGAAACTGTGTTCCAAAGAAGTTAAGTACCTGCCAACAGTCATTCAAGGAGATAGGAATGTATCTGGGTCTTTAATTGAGCCCTCTGATTTTTTTTTCTTTTTTTTTTTTTTTAAGAAAGGGAGAGGTGGAGGCAGGGGCAGAAGCAGAGAGAGAATCTTCAGCTGACTCCACACTGGGCGTGGAGCCCAATGCCAGGCTTGATCCCATGACCCTGAGATCATGACCTGAGCTGAAATCAAGAGTCAGACGCTTAACTAACTGAGCCACCCAGGTGCCCTGAGCCCTCTGATTTCCAATCCAATACTGCCTCACAAACTCATATTAAGATTTAAGGCCTTTCTAAATAAACTTGACTGGGAATGTACGTGGTGTAACACAAGTAGGATAATAAACAGATCAGTGTACCTGTATGTATGTGCCTTTAAAAAAAGTTTGAATGAGATAAATTATTTGTTTAAAAAATCAAGGAGATGGCTGAAATATAGGAAGTTTATTTTTATATGCTGTAGTATTTGGATAGAGACCAATTAAAAACTTGGGTGATATTTTTGGTTGCTCACTTCTGGGAGCATTTGATATTCGGTCATATTTTTGTAGTTACCACTTTTCCACACCCCTCCAAATGTATAGTATTTGTACTGCAGAATGCATGTATAATGTTAGCAGTGTTTATTCTTGGTAATGTGAGAGATTACGGTCATTTGAAATAACTGTGGCAAATAACCAATTGCATAGTTCATTTCTTCCCCATTTAGAGGTGACTTTCTGCCTTTTCCTCTCCATCAATCTGATATAAGACACATTTATTGGCTTAGGGAGAGGCAAGACAATTGAAGTGGCCATGGTAACTGAAGGACAGTATTACCCCCAGAACTTTTTTGAATTGTCTGATCTTATTCCCTTTGAGTGATTTGAGTTAGAGTAATAAAAAAGACCAGAATAACAGCTGAGAGATTATCTTTTCTTTCATAATTAGTATAGCCAAGGTTATTGATAAATAGGCAGCCACTGGATATAAATTGAGGGTTTTTTTTTTTTTTTTTTGGTTACTTCATTCTCATCAACTTTGGTTTCTAAAATAGGAACTTTCTAGTGCTACCCATCATAACGATTGTTATTTGGCACTTAGTACATCCAATGAATTATTGATAGTTCTTCTGTTTGTGGGGGGATGGGTTAGCCTGGTGATGGGTATAAAAGAGGGCACATATTGGGGCGCCTGGGTGGCTCAGTTGGTTAAGCGGCTGCCTTCGGCTCAGGTCATGATCCTGGGGTCCTCGGATCGAGCCCTGCATTGGGCTCCCTGCTCGGCAGAGAGCCTGCTTCTCCCTCTCCCTCTGCCTGCCACTCTGCCTACTTGTGCTCTCTCTCTCTCTGTCAAATAAATAAATAAAATCTTAAGAAAAAAAAGAGGGCACATATTGAATGGAGCACTGGGTGTTATACGCAAACAATGAATCATGGAACACTACATCAAAAACTAATGATGTAATGTATGGTGGTTAACATAACATAATAAAAAATGTCTAATAAAAAATGATAGCTTTGTTAAGTACTTTCATAGGAGGAATAGATAAACACCTCTTGTGCTGTATGGATGATAATCATTTTCTACATGTTGTGTTCCAAATTTTTGTCTCACATTTGAAGTTAAATCCTCTTAATCAGTCTCCCAGTGGACTCATATTGGCTTTATATGAAACTATGCTTTTCCCTTAACTATTTGTAAGATAATAACCTGTCAGTATAATGCTGGCATATACTTAATATTTTAATGACAATTCTTTCATATGGTGAAACAGTATGGAACAACAATGTAGATCAAGTCATAATTTTAATGTAAATTTTTAGGTTTAAATTTACTGTCCAAATCTTTAAAACAAGTTTTTCTTATTAATTGTGGTATGCAAAAATGGAATAATTTTGTGGAACATATACAATATAAAGACCAATCATTTTGTTGCAGTGTTTGGAAAGTGAGCAGAAATTGGCGAGAAATTATTGTTCAAGATAAAAAAGCAAATCGGAGGAGGAAATGTTATATCTCACAACTGAAAGCAGATTCTGAGGTAATGTATATAATACTTTTCTCAAATGGATTTGTAAAATAATCTCATATTGCTGGACAACCTAATTTGGTTTTCCTGCTATCTTTTAACCCTTTTCATTTAGCAAACATTCACACATGAATGTTTTACTTCTCTCAAACTCCATTTCCTTCCAGTCCATAAGTGGAGTAGACTACCTAGCATCAGGAGCGTCTTGTAGGGTTTTGTTGTTCAGGTGTGTGTGCTGTTAGCAGGGTTTGAATACCAGTGCTATGCTGGATCCTATTCATAATTAGATATCCTTAAAGCATTTTCTATCTAGTCTTTTGAGTGGATATTATGTGCCAATTGCTCAGATTACAATGGTGAACCTTTCTGAAATGGTCCCTGCTCTCTTGGAACTCATGCCCCATGACTTGAGATATTAGTCAACAGGGGATTATAATACAGGTGTGTTAGAGGAAGCCCAGAGTTTGTTCTATTAGATCATTTAAAAGGAGTATTTGACACTGGAGAATCAAGAGAAGGCTTTTCAGAAACAGTGCAACTCCGCTGAGACCCGATGGATGAGGAATGAGTGGCTAGCCAGGTGAAGACAGGGAGGAGTGTTTCAGCAGAGAGAATAGCATAGAGGGAGGCCTGCAAATGAGTGAGTGTGGCAGAGTAGTACTGGGGAAGCATCATAAGCTTGTATTTTCTTGAAGATTTGGGAACCAGCTTTGAATTGACAGGAAAAGTCCTGCAGAAGCTGATTTATTCTTCCTAGTGACACTACTTTGTGTACTAGGCATCTGATGACTCTGGCCCTGTACGTATTGTATATGCAGCTTTTAGACCTTTCTTAGCCATTAAATACCAAAAGAAACCACGAGAGTTCACTCTCTTATCCTTGTTCTAGTAAAAAGTCTTTAATAACATAAGTAAATTTCTAATTTGACAAAATATAATAATTGAGGTGATACATGGTGTAAACAAATATAAATACCTAGATACAGATTGGTGGGTTTCTCATTACAATGAAATATTAGGGACTGCACTTAACTAAAATGTTGACTTTCTATTTTACTTTGAAGAACAGTGTTACCTTCTCGCCTACGATATTGCCTTACAACTTGCTCACAGCTCCTGGCTACTTACTGCTGCAGCTTCTGGGCCTGGGAGCTTATACTAGAGAAAATATTTGCCTTCTTAACTTCGTATTTTTTAGAGTGCTGCTCTATGTGCTAAGGACTAAATTTTTTTAGGGCGCCTGGGTGGCTCAGTTGGTTAAGTGTCTGCCTTCGGCTCAGGTCATGGTCCCAGGGTCCTGGAATTGAGTCCTGCATGGGGCTCCCTGCTCGTTGGGGAGCCTGCTTCCCCCTTTCCCTCTGCCTGCCGCTCCCCCTGCCTGTGCTCTCTCTCTCTCTCTGACAAACAAATAAAACAGCAGAGAGGGAGGCTGAAGCAGACTCCCCACTGAGCAGGGAGCCAGACTCAGGATTGGATCCCAGGACCCTGAGATCGTGACCCGAGCGGAAGGCAGATGCTTAACTGACTGAGCCGCCCAGGTGCCCCCCAAAAAACAATTTTTAAGCAAGCATCTATTAATATTAAACTATCACCTCCAGGTACATGTACAAAGAAAGAAACATGGTTGTGTTTGGCAACACTTCAGGTAATTCCAGATAAAATATTCATATCCGGGCCACCACTTTTTTTTTTCCAACTTTATTTCTTAAAGGACTATACGTTTTTCCTTACTTTAACTTTTTTCTTATTTTGGTTTGCTTTTTAAATTTTTTTTTCATAGTAAAACAAGTACATGGTTTAAAAAGTCAAACTGGACTATGAGGCTTATAACAAAACACATTCTCTTACCTGTCTCTTCCTACTCTTGATTCTTGTCCCAAGTTAATCACTTTCAACTCTTCAGTTGTTCCTTTTGAGATTTACCTCCACGTTTCTAAATAGCATGGCTTTCCTCCTATTTCTTGGCTTTTATCTTTGAAGAGTTTTTCTCTAACTTCTCACCATTCCTACCACTACCTGCCCGCCCGCCCCTCTCTCTGAACTACCACTACCTCCCCGCCCGCCCGTCTCTGAACTCCTTTCTCCTTTTCTCCTCACTAATGTAACCACACCACCATTTGGGAGTGAATCAGAAACAAGTGCTGACATTATTAAGACTGTATTGAGATTATGAGTTTGTTGACTGCTGAAACATGCAGTACACTACGATTACACCTTTTTTCCTATATAACTTTTTTTTCCAGAGTTAATAATTGCCCAGTTTCTTTCTTTTGTTTTGCTTAGTGTTTCTCTGTACAGATCCCCGATTCATCTCCTATTATCCACCAGAACTGGAAATCTCCTCTGTGTAAGTCCAGACAAATCAGGTATTCTTCCTGTTCCTTCTTTTCCCTAGAGACATCCTTCCTGGTGCACTTTGCCCTCCTATTCTGATATGGACTGGTTACTTTCCACATGAACTCTCCTAATGTATATCATTAACCCAAACAGAAACATTGTAAGACAGAGTTGTTTGATAGTTTTCCTCATACTTGTGTAATGTCTCTGAAAGCTCCTTATGTATAGAAGTTAGAAGGCAAACAGCAGCTACGTGTAATAGGATCTCAATTTCATCTATTTGCTTTGCAACCATGAGAATGAATGTTAGAATTGGGATATGGCTTTTCCATTGAATTTCTTAATTTACTGTATTCCTCACTGTTTTTTATAATTATGGAAATGAACAACCACATGGTGACTCCACTCTCACATTTAAGTATTTTCTGGTAACATGATGTGACTGTGTTTGAAAAATTTTGGCCTTCGTGAACATGTGCCTTGGTTGACTTCTTTGCCTCCTATTGCTCAGAGATGGAAGCACATTTTAAACTCTACAAGGCCTGGGATTAGACTGTTTTATTCACTTGACACCTTTAGGAGTTCTATAAATATTTGTTAAATAAATGAAGGTTTATTCTGTGGCTGAAATGTGTTTCAACAGTGTATCTCTATTCATTTTGTTGGTTCATACACAATCACCGTGTTTACCAATTGCATCGAATCCATCAAAATTTTGGTGTGCTCTTTTATCGTGTGTGTGTGTCCTAGGCTGCAAATTATTTATACAAATGTACTATAAAGAAATGTACTGAGTCCTTGAAAAAGTTCAGTTGTATTCATTCTAATTTTGGCAAACCAATGTTCATCCATTACACTTATGCATATGTTGTTAAACTGTTAATCATGGAATTTTCCATGACCAGCTAATCTTATTTCCTATACTTATCCTACTATAATTTCTCTTATTTTCTCTCTCCTCACTTTTAGGAGCCAATTGTGGCAAAGGGAAACTCTCAAGGGAGAGGAAGCACAGTTTTAGTTAGACACATGAGGAAATTCACTCTCAGTACATTTTATTTTGATAATTGGTTAAGAAGGCCAATTTGTTAAAAAACAAAAACAAAAACCCAATTTTTTCCCGTTATCAACCTCAGCAAAATAGAGGGCTTACTGAAAATATTTCTTGGCTGAATATTTAAGTAATGTGGAAATCCAGTTCAGAGAAGAGATACCTTTTTTTCTCCTTTTAAAATACCTAAGCATGTTTATTACAATGTAAGTATAAAAATGACTCCAGTATTTACATGTATTGTAAAAACTAGCCAAACCAATTGGATTTCATGGTCTAACCAGTACCATTATTCTTCTGACATGTGGCTAAGGTAAGAAACCTTCAAAGAATTCCATGATATCCCATAGTAAACTTTACAAAGATTCACCTCTTCTTAAACCTTGACTTAAAAGAGGGGTTGGCAAACTCCAGTCTGTGGGCCAAATCCTGTCCATCACTTCTGTTTTTAAAGTAAGTTGCATTGGAACACAGCCTTGCTCTTTCATTTACGTATCTCTACAGCTGCTTTTGGTAAAATGGCAGTTGAGTAGCTGTGACTATCTGGCCTGCAAAACGTTAAATATATACCGTCTGGCCCTTTTCAGGAAAAGTTTTCCAACCCATACCTTAAGCAGAAAAAGAACCCATCGTGTAAGCTTAAAGCTAACACTTCTTGTTTTAATTTCGTTCATTTATATTTCTTTGACATTTAAGTGTTAGCTGAGAGAAAATTTTTTGTCTAGAAGGGAAAGTTTAGGGGGAAAATTCTAATGGAATTTAGTGTGAAATCACTTTCAATATTTAAATACATGTGCATCAGAGAACTGTTCCGGAACTTTTGACATTACAGTACTGACCCCTCTTATCTTTTACGGCAGGGGGCTATATTAAATGTTGAGGATGCTGCCACTCGGCTCCATCTTTTAAATCGATCAGCTTTAAGATCTGTACAAGCTCAGGCTAGGATACCAGGTTTTCAGAAAGGAGAAGTTTCAACATTTTCTCCTTGGGGAGAAGTTTTGACACCTACAGCAAGCTCTTCTGTTACTCCCTTAAGTAGTAAACAAGATGAATATGTTAAGGTGAGTATTTCTCATAAGTTATTAGAAATACATATTGAGAGTTTGAAATAAAGTGATTCTCTGTGTGAAACTGGAAGATTCAGTGTGTATGCTTTCACTGCAGGTTGCCAAAACACTATTTATTGATGAAGCATTAAAACCTTGCCCCAGGTGCCAATCCCCTGCTAAGTACCAGCCGTATAAGAAAAGGGGACTGTGCAGCAGTACAGCCTGTGGTTTTGACTTTTGTGTGTTATGTTTGTGTGCTTATCATGGGTCTGAAGAATGTAGTAGAGGAGCAGCGAAGCCGAGAAATAGGAAAGATGCTCTTCCAGGAAGTGCCCAGAGTAAGCGGAATTTAAAACGCCTTTGAGGAGACTCTCAAATAAAAGAAGCATTCCCCCTAAACAGCGTTTTGTCTGACTTAAAATTATGAATATTTTGAAAGCATGCAACATTTCCCATTAATGACAGATGGTGATTTATTTCCTATTTTGTATATATCATAATCTATGTCTGTATTCTTTAAAGTGATGAGTTTGAAAAAATTTTATTTTACTGTGTCACATTTTCCCATTTTAATAAGTGTTTTTAAATAAAGAGTTTTTAATGTTGTCATATATATGTATTTAACTGTTTCATGTAACCTTTGAAAATTGTGCATTTCATCACTTTGTGTTGAAATGTTCTTCGATCACTTTTTAAAAATAGTTTTCCAAGTAATATTACAAATTTTGAACTTGAGACAGATGGCGTTATAGATTTGGAAAATGAGTATTTGACTGAAATGAAATATAAATAAAATGTTTTCAGAAGTTCTATTGAATTTACTCTATAATTTCTATCTTGTAATTTAGCGAGTGTCATATGTGAGCACACTTCTGGTTAAATAAAATTTACTTAATATTGATTACTAAGAAGACATAAAAACTAAGTTGTTAGACATATGTTGTTAATTCACAATGAGAGTCTCAGTCAGTTAATAAACCCTTGTAAGTCCTGCATTTCATTTAAGCGTTTTTTAAAATTCCAGAACTATAATCGCAGATTCCATTTGTTTAATCTAGCTTGGGTATCACTATTGTGATAAATTTGCGCGAGTTAGAAAAGATTGTTGTTGGTTTTTCTTTTCTCAACAGTTAGTTTTACATTGGGTTTCTTAAATAAGAAAATTTACTGAATTGTTTATAATGTACCTCTTTCCAAAAATGGTTGGAGGTAGCATGTTTCATTTATAGAATAGCAGCAAGAAAGAGGTAAGTTCTATTGTTGAACATATTACTAAGACCAGGGGAAAATTTGAAGATGGTTTCATATTTTATTTGTTTGTCTTTAGGTAACTGTTGTGGGTATATGTCTGTGTACACACTATACACACAGATTTTTAAAATGTAGCTCTTACACAGTATTTTAATAAGACAGTCTTAAAGTGTGAATTACGTATAGATATATCTGGTTTTTTTAATTATTAAAAAGATTTTATTGGGGTGCCTGGGTGGCTCAGTCGTTAAGTGTCTGCCTTCATCTCAGGTCATAGTCCCAGGGTCCTGGGATTAAGTCCCACATCGGGCTCCCTGCTCTGCGGGAAGCCTGCTTCTCCCTCTCCCACTCCCCCTGCTTGTGTTCCTGCTCTTGCTATCTCTCTCTCTGTCAAGTAAATAAAATCTTTTTTTTTTTTAAAGATTATTTATTTTAGAGAGTCAGGGACAGGTGAGTGGGGCTAGGCGCAGAGGGAGAGGGATAAGCAGACTCTGTGTGGAGCTCGATATGGGGCTCCATCCTACCACCCTGAGATCATGACCTGAACTGAAATCAAGGGTCGGACACTCAACCAACTGAGCCAGCCAGGCGCCCCTAGATATAAATATATTTGGAAAAATCTGCCCTAAATTTTAATTTGTTGTTTAACTCACTAAAAATTTTAGCTGCTAAATATTACATTTTATCTATATCTTTTCTAATTCCACAAAGAATTTTTGGAGGCTAAATATAAATATAAGTAAATTGTTGGTTGTCTTTAATAATTTACCCAGTCTATACATTTTATATCAAATTTTCTGATTCAGTTGATTCTAATCAAGTTTAATTCTCAGTGTCTACTTAATTTCCTGAGGTATCTTCCACATCAGGGTCAATATACTTATTAATATTTTTAATAAACATTGTTAATTGAAGTTTCTTTGCATTTAGAAAACTTATTCCCAGTCTTGATTCTTTTAATTTATGAAGACAACTCTTTGATATAGTTTGACTACCTGTCTTGACCTCTCTTTCTGGGGCTTAGATCAAATCATATCCTCTTCTGTCATATGAACATTTTTGCTATTTTATGCTCTTGACTTCTGCCTGGCCTAAATGCCGTTCTAGAAGTGACTTCTTAAGTTGTAAAAATCACAGATCCAGTTTCATGGTATGTTTTTTAAAAATGAAATGCAAGATTTTTTATTTTATATAATTTAAAATGTTTATTTCCCAATATCCTATGGATTTTTATTATTCTATTACAGAAAATGAAAAAGGAAGGATAAGCATTTCTTTTGCCTCCTTATACTTGAAATTGTCAGTATTACAATGTGAGAATCTGGAATCCTATCTCCTGTCCATTAGGAAGCACTTTGCATCTGTCTTATGTGGTACAGTCACACTGCCTTCTCTGTGTGATCACCTTTGTGGTCTTGTAGCAACTCAGTCCATTCGAATGTAATATTTTATCTTACTCTACTGTTGAAAATGTAGATTTTACCACGTTTTGTTTTAGAAATCAATAATCTCCATGTATTCTTGTCTACCGCAGGTACTGTTAACAATGGAGTTTCAAATTTTTTATATTTCTGGTTTTGATTGGGATTTGAGTACCATGATCAAGTAGTTATGAGTAAAACAGTATAAGGACTCAGTACCACATATTTTAATGATTTCATAATAAAAATTCTGAAGAAAGATCAGAGTAGGAATTTGAAAGATAAGCTTTTTACTGGTAAGCTTTATATTTGTGATGGGGTTAAGAGGTAGGTTAACTAGAAGAAAATCATACAGTTTCCAGAATAACTTTATTAAACAAAGGCTTTAGCTATCCAGAAAATAATCAGCATTCTCCAAATTATTGTAAATGACTACGTATTGTAGTAGCAGCTGTATGCTCCGGTAGCGTCTTGTGCTTCCCCTGTCACAGCACTTAGTTTACTTTATTCAAATTGTTTGTTAATTTTCTTTCCCCATGAGCCTATCAGCTCTGTGAAGACCTGGACCATATCATGTTTGATTTAAATGCTGTTGCATCCCTAGCACCTTGCCCAGTGCCAGGCAACTAGAAGGTGCTCAATAAGTATTTATTGAATGAGTCGATTTTTAAGTACTACTAGTATTTTTATCGAGTAAACGCTTTCAACTCTTTGCTATGATGTTAATTTCATAATATTTGATCTTAGTGATTAATGCTTCATGACACAAAAAAGTGAGATCTAAATGATTTCTTAAATTGCTTCACACATGTAATCAGTGGATTTGTTTGGCTTACTCCTTCTTTTAGCTACTGTTCTTACAGTTTGTGAAAGTGTAATGGAAAGAGCTCTAGACTAGGAGTCAAAAACCCGGAGTGGGTATTCTAAACTACTTGCCAGCTATGCCCTTATGCAGGTAGCTTATTGATTCTGAGCCTATTTCTTCTGTCTATAAATGAGAGAAATTAAGAGAGTTGATCACTGTTGAAACTCTAAGTGTTACACTAATCTGTATGGCTATGTGTTTGGCTAAAATATGAATAGAATAAAACAAAATACCATTTGTGGGGAGAGAATATATGATCTTGATATCATTAGCATTATGCTCAATGAAACTATAAAACCAGCCTCTAACTTGCTTGTAAAAAATGTCTGCTTGAAAAAAAATTCATCTAATCATAAATTGAGTGTTTACTATGGATAGACAGTGTCCTAAGTCCCTTACGTGTGTTAAACTCATTTATTCCTCACATTGACTCTATAAGGCAATTGTTATCTTATTCCTTTTACATATCAGGAAGCCAAGAATTGGGTTAAAACATCTAAGATCACTTAGGCAACAAGTGCGGGAGCCAAGATTCTACCAGAGGTAGCCTGCCACTTGTACATGACAAAACTCTGCAGAATCCCTGTTGATAAATTCAATATGCATATAATTACCATGTCTTAAATAGAAGATTGTTTTGCCATTAAAGGAAAATCTATTGGTATGTCAGGAAAAAAAATTCTAACTTAAAACAGTTCTGCCATAAAGTAGTTCCTTAGCTCCGTAGTTCCTCACAACTTTATAATTTGAAAAACTAAATGAATTGCATGAATATACTATTATCTGAGAGCTCAGTTCCAGAAAAAGACTTAGCTCCAGTCCCAAGGTCTTTGTAATCTAAAGACACAAGTCATGAAAATAAGTATTAACACATTCCAGTCATTACTGCCTTCTTACAGATTTTGATTATTGAGTGAAAGTAATTAGAACAAATTTAGCAGTTATTGATAGGTCTACTCTGCATTTCCAAGAAGATTCCAATGCAAGAGGGATGATTAAATTTGGCACTTTCTTTTTGTATTTTTTCCCACTTCTTAATAAGGACATAAGGGAAAGAAGGAGTGTTAAATCTGGGGAAAATCAACACTTTACCTTCTACTGATTTAGGATAAGAATCTACCTTTCCCCACTGTGGTCTGCCCCCTTGACAGCCTTGTTAGCTAATGGGCAGGAATATTTTTTTCTTTTTGACTTCCACTTGTCTCCAGGAAAGACAGGAATTTCCTATTTTTCATTCCCTAGTTTGAAAAATAAATGGTCAGAAACTTGTGATAAGTGATATAAAGAGAAACAACACTTTAAAAGTTACCTGATTATTTTATACTAGCATTTCTATGGGCACAAATATGGATGTTTACAATTATTCCAGTTATTTAAATACTTAATAATGTCTTAAGGATTTGTTAGCAATAATTTAAGGGTAGAAGTGCTATTGAGAAAACAGTTTTGATACTTACCTAGCACAGTGTAAAGCTAAGTTTTTCCATTACCTTTGCTTAATTTATGATTCACAGAGCAAAATTGTCATAAATTTATGACAAAAATTTACTGAACATTTTCAACATTTGGTCTCTTATGTTTCTAGTTTGAATTAAATTATTCATGTGGCCTTATTTTAAGTTATGTGCCTTAGGAATAATGTAACATGTACAGAAAGTACTTAAAATGTCTTAAAGGATGGCAGTAACCCATTACTGTTTCTGTGCAAAAGGTAAATATTTCAAAGCTCACACTAAATATTCCACAAGGGGGCACCAAAGACTCATTTATGGGGATTTTGGCCCTCCTTCAAAAAAGTTAATTTAACTTTTATATATTTGACGCTGATGTACTGTGACATTGCCAAGTAGGGGAAATGTTCCTTGGCTTAATTTTAAAAATGCATACAGAATAAATTTAG